TGCCCTATTTGAATTCTCAACCTTAGCTATTGGTGTTATTATTGAAATTTTTAGATCGTCTGGAACAGTATTAGTCTCTAACGAGGAATTTATTATATTTATCAATGGCTTAGCAATATTTTCGAAACAGTATTTTAAAAACAGTACATTAATTTCATCAGGACTTCCTTTATTCGACATATCAAAAACAATTTCTTTTAAAGTATCAAAACTAACAAGATTAAACTTTTTAAGACTTACATTATCATTTTTAACAATAATGGGAAAATCATTAACGTTCTGATTTATATTAGATACTAAGTCAATTATACTATCAATGTAATATGTGTTAAGTGCATCTGGCATTTCAATTATGTCTTTTATAATTAAATTTTCATTTATTTCAATTTTCTACAAGATCATTTTGTTTATAGTTTTTGGGTAACAGTTCCTTCATTACATTCCATAATTTAACAGAATTATTTTTATTTTCCATAATTTGAGAGTCATAATATGTTCTCTTTTCATTTCTAATAGTTTTAACAGCCATATTACGTTTCTGTTTATATAATTCTTTATTTTGTTCTGTTTTGTTTAATACATAATTTTTGTAAGCCTTATCCCTATCTATAGTTGCTGTGTGCACTGTGTCATTCCACCAAACTCTAAATTTTGGAAAAATCTTAATAGTTCTCTTTGGTGCCACCTCATTTAAAACCCTCATTACTTTTTCATAAAAATCCTTATATTTGGCATTAATCCGTAATCTATAATTCCATTCAACTTTAGATAATTTTTCATTAATAGTATCATAATCGATAATTCTACCTCTACTTTCAATTAATTGTGGTTCCTTGGTTAGTGCCAAACAGTCTAGATATATTAAAATGTGTACTTATTCTAGGCGATGTAACAATTTCTACCCTAATATTTTCAGAATTAGTTATTACAAGATCTATAAGTGAGCCACCATTATTACTATTGGAGGGATGGGTAACTTGTGAAAACAATATTTTTCAAACCAATGTCAGAAATACAATTTTTTAATCTGCTACTGTAAGTATTGTCATGCATCAAGTCAATGTTAAAATCACCTGTTACAATTATATTAAAATCACAATCACATAAAAAGTCATCTGCAAAATGTTCAAAAAAGTCTAAAAAAATCCTTACAAGAACTACTAGGAGATCTGTATAAACTAACAACTAAGTAATTACTTTTTTCAAATAAAAATTTCAATAGTATCCAATATTTTTTTTGTGTACAAAATTTTTTAAAACTCAAAACCTTTAATTGATTGTTTATGTAGATTAAAGCCCCACCAGTGTGCCGACTATCACTATTAACCCTATAACTATTATAACCATTTATAGTAATTTCAGAATCGAATATTTCATCAGTAAGATGTGTTTCAGAAAGGCACAATAATAATGGTTTTTTTGACGTAACTATAGCTGAAATTTCATCAAAATGACATAGTAAACTTTGAGCATTAAGTGATAAAATGAAACATGCAAAGTTTTTATTTATTGTTTTTTTAGATAATAGTTTAGTTTTACTGTTCCCTCTGTTTAAGTAATGTGAATAATTTTTTGTTGGATGGAAAATCCATATTTTCTGTACTAGTAGGGACTGTTATATCACTTAAAATTATAATCTTTTCATTGTTATTTGATTTAGGAGTATTTCCATCTATGCAAGCAGTTTGATTATCAGTTTCAATAAATACTAAATTATTTCTGTACTTTACTGAACATATTTTATTTTTAATCAAAAATGCTAATTTCTTATTATTCAATCTATAACCATTCTTATCATTAACATATAAAAAAGAGAAGGAGTTTTTTTGATACCAGTCTATATAACTTATAAAACTGATAATTTAGAATTGAAATTAATTATTTGTTTAATATTAGTTTTAAATTTAGGTATTGATAGAAAAATTAAATTTGTGTGCAAGCACTGTTTTAATTTATAACTAATATTCTTAATGCTAGGATACCTGTTTTTTAATATGTCGTTTTTTCCTGCCATAATAACTACATAATCATTTGAGTTAAAGTTTTTAGCTAAGATTTTTAATATCTTCTAGTATTCTATTAAATTCTGCTCCTGGTTTTAAAATTATTTCAATTGACGCACTTTCTCGATAAAAACACTTCTTAATTCCCTGTCCAAACCTCTTCCATTTTCATCTGATAATATCAAAATCTTTTTCTGTTTCTTGGCATTCTGTGGTTCAATGTTGTCACTTTTAAAACTCGTATTCTTGATGTCAATGTGTAAGCTTTTTAATTGGTTTAGGTACATTATATTGTCTTTTGCTAAGTTTTCAATATCTTTCATCAGCTTAACGTTCTTATTTTTTAATTGATTAAGTTGATCAGTCATATTTCTTTGGTTGTCTTCCAATGCAAAATTTAAAACTCTACATTCATTTATATTTTTACTTACATCCATAAAATTTTCGTTTTCAATTTTAAGTATCCCAATGGTTTTCTCATAATCAATATTTTCAGTTTCCAACATCCTTATTGTTGTTACCATGGTCCTGTTTATAGAATCCAACTCCTTGACATCCAGTTGTAGTTTTAATATCATCTCATCTTTTTTCATTATGGTTTTATCATATTCATTTATTGCACACTGTGCACTTTGAAGTTTCGAGTTGAGAGACTCAATTTCCCTATACTGCTTTGTAATTTTCGCTTCAAATGTTGACTCTGCATCTATTACTAAGTTTTCGAAACTTTGACTGCTTCTTTTTAGTCTTTTAATATGGTCTTCTTTATCTTGCAGATTTTCCTTTAGTTTGGCAATCTCTGTTTGGAAATTTTTAATTTCAACTTCTTCATAGTTTTTTAGGTTTTCACATCTGGATGAGCAATATACCTTATGGTCCTCAATTTTAACAGCTTCCTTGAAGTCTCGATCAAGGCAACTCGGATGCAGGACGTTAAAGCAACTTATACAAACCAAGTTTTTGAATTCTTGTTTGTTATGACATTTAAAATAGGTCATTTTATTTCTAGTACGCCACTGTATTATTTTGTAAATAGTTATTTATTTATCAGCTGGCTTCTTTACTAATTGGACAGATAACAATATCCAGTTTTTGTATTTAAAGTTAAAAAAAAAACAGAACACTTTTAAAAAATCCTTGTTAAATGCAATTTTCAGCTTTACTGTAATTGGCACTTTTATAAGAATTACATATTTGAATTCACTATGATTTTAGCTATAATTTGATACTTTATTTAATTTTGTATGATGGTTTTTACCACCAAATCTGAACACTTCTCGGGAGCAATGAGAAAAACGTACCCACGCTCTTATTATCGCAAATTGTATTTTGTATAATAAAAAAGTTTCTCATTTGTGGTCAACTTTAAAAGGTACATTCATAGGCGCCGCCACACGAGGGCAAGCGCCCAGGATTTCCGATTTTGGATTGTTCGCTATGGCTTTTATCTATAGCCTGCGGCATTTTGAACTTGCATATAAGCCTTGCCCCCCAGCAATTTTTTGATCGGTGCCCATGGACACATTGTCCATTAACAATATGAAAAACATTTGTTTTTAGTTTCTGTTAATCACAGTATTAATTAGTGAACAGAACTGTATTTGTATTCAATACAGTCCTGGATGTTTTCAAACCCCAGTTTACTATCATAAACAGCAATCTCCCTTCATGAACAAATCATATATAGCAAACTCCAACCTTAAATTAATATCAAATACAGCAAACTCCAATATATAAAGCCAATTTAAAATATTATTTAAAATCTTATGGCGATTTTGACTGCAATTTACAAAAAATAATTTATTTACACATTTAAAAGCAAAAACAGTAATTCTATGTAACATCCTAATATTTTTTAAATAGTTTTTGTTGTGTAGTGAAAAATTTAGAAAAGTGGACTTTGCTACATTTGATATTAGACGCCTGAAATGCTTTTTTTATACAGTGTGTCTACTTAAGTTGGAACCATATGGAAAACATTTTTATTATTGATTTTAGGAAAAAAGTTATTCTTGATAAAAAGTCCTGCATGACCCAAAACCTAAAATACAGTCATCACATATCAAATTTTTCAAGCCGTATACGAGGTTTGTCAAAAAATATGAATTTTGCTCAAGAGTAAAGTACGTTTATTTTTGACAAAATCGAAAATTTTCATTAAGAAAAGTTGATTAGAATTGAATATTACATTCAAATATGCAATCACACCGATCTATCTGAAAAACAGATTTTCTTATTTTTTATAAACTCTACACATTGATTGTAAATATCTGAAAACGTTATAAATTACGTTAGCTACTATAAACATGATACGCTTTCCTTTTGTTGATGTTTGTGAAGAATTTAGCAAATTTCTTAATGAAAATTTTCGATTTTGTAAAAAAATAAACGTACTTTACTCTTGAGCAAAATTCATATTTTTTTACAAACCTCGTATACGGCTTGAAAAATTTGATATCTGATGACTGTATTTTAAGTTTTGGGTCATGCAGGACTTTTTATCAAGAATAACTTTTTTTCCTAAAATCAATAATAAAAATGTTTTCCATATGGTTCCAACTTAAGTAGACACACTGTATATCAAAATTTAGACTCCGTAGTCCCATTATGCACGACTCCATAAATATGTATGCCAAATTTCATAAAAAAATATTAAAGAATAGGCCTGGAAACTTGGAAATACGTTTAAGTCAATTTTTGTACATGGATAACGCTCTTAAGTTTTAACTGTTATATAGTAATTTAAAATAATTTTTGTCACTAACTAAAAGAGCGCTTCATTGAGTATGTCACTTGCCTGTTCCTAAAAATAATAATAATGTCCAACTCCTTTCCCATCTAATATAAAACTAGCCTCAGCCAGTATTACTATATTACAGTATTACTGTTCTTTTTCTTAACAATACAAACAGATTTTTATAATTGTCAATTCAGTGCCATTTCAATAAGTTCAACCTTTTTATCCCTCATTTTAAGCTGATTATTTTTTCTTTTCAGGTTAGAATATTTTCATCTAATAAAAGGATCGGTACGCCTCAAGCCAGGAAACAACCACGCAGAACATCACTCGTACCTGTAGTACCACAGACACCGACGAAAACTTCAATTACAGATCTGATGGAACCTTCTAGTCCTCCAAAAATTAAACTGCCCTCAGTTTGTTCCAAGCAGAGCAAAAGGAACCTGAAAAGGTTGACCCAATGATTTTTTTTTTCTGTGAAAAAGTAAAGCTTATTTTTTGTACATTACATATTTTCCTTTGATCGTGGTTTGTAACATCATGTTATTTCTACTGAAACAGAGGTTTTAAATAACGTATTCATGTGTAAATTAAATACAAACATTGAGACTATTGTGTGGAGTAGAGTGTGTTATTTGTGCTATCTTGGAAGCATTCATAAATATATTGTTACCTCAGTTTCGAAACGGAAATAACTTAAAATTTGACAAAAGTTAGATATTTCAGCAAAATTATTAAAAATATTGAATAATGTCCAGTTCAAAAGAGAATCAATGTAGAAGTGTCTTATGATAATAACCATTAATATTTCCTTTTAGAACTCACAAAATTTTCTCCACTTCTTTATTCACACTTTTAAAACAGATAAACTAATAATTGTCATTTTTTTACTGAGGTAGTGATGTGTTTATGAATTTCAAGAAAAATGGAGATTTAACATGTGTATGCTCCCATTTAATCACGAATTAATTTTAAATGTATTCAAGTCTTTTGTCCAATTTTTGTCACTATTTTATTATGACGAATTTCAGTACCTTGGAGGTAAACTGCACTATGTTGACAGTGCTGTTTTATAAAAGTTTTATTTTGAAACTCAGCTCATCGAGACCTTCATAGGGGTATGTGCACATAGTGTTATTAGTTCTCATGTTAAGCCATATTATTCATAGAAAATTTGCTATCAGATCATAGAAATATGCTGTAGGTATATGACTGTATTTCATAAAAACCAACAATTTATGCAAATAAAAAAAAAATGGAAGTTTTATTAGTTAGATTAGTAAACAATACATAAATATTGTGACAATAATTGGGTCTGACTGCATTTGTTGTCGAAATATAATTAATATATGTAATTATGGAGCACATAAGGTGTCCAAACATACAATCTGCTCTGCTGAAAAGTTGACAATGCAGTTTACCTCCAAGGTACTGATATATAGCATTCTTAAAGATGTACTAATTAACAAGTTCAACTAAGACTAATATGTATAAAGGTCAATTACTAAGTATATTATAAATATACTACAGGTGGGAGAACAGATAATACTAATGATTCAGTTGAGTTAATGGGAACATTAAGAGAGTAAATTCCCAGAAATGTTTTGCAATAATCAGCCTCAAATCCAGTTTTTAAATTAAAGCTAAATTACAGAACACAGTATAATCAGTATCAAAACCAGTAAACATCCGTGGATATATATTTAATATTTTTGCTTATTAAATTAGTTTTTATTGCAAAACATTTCTGATAAATTATTTCTTAATGTTCAAATCAACTGTATACATTCTTCGATACAAATAAGGTGTTATTGACATCTGTAATAATTTTGCTTATGTTTACTTAATATTGGTTACACGGTCCGAAATTAACAGCTCTACTGCTTGATATTCCTGAAAAACTCGTTAAATTAGGGTTACGATTGCCTGAAAAATGGTGAATCAAACGTCAATCCACTAACCAGTATTTTGTTATGCTTATCATAAGTTGAATGTCAATCTGTGACAAAATTGACGTGTTTCTCAGTCCATAGTCCAAATGTAACCAACAAATATTGTTGTTTTTTTTTTAAGAATGGTCAAAAAATACTAGATAGTAGTCTGTTAATCTTGGACCATTATCATAGTTAAATAGTTTTTCTTGACAAGAATGACAGATATTTTTTGTCTCTTTAATTGTAAGGCTTCATTGATATATTAAAGTCATTGATTTTTAGAAAAGGTGCTTCCATAGTTGCCTTGTTTCCAAGTATGTCCATCTTAGTCCTGCATATATGTTGTCTGCCTGAGTCATCTACGGACTATCTGTTTGCTTGGTGTTATGATAACTTTCACCTTTTTCTTTTTTTATCCAGTCAATGTTTCTTCTGTGTTGAATAATCCATATCCGGTTCTCCCACTAGATGTACTCATTAATTCGCTCAATTTTGTGGCATTTTCGTCAGTATTTATCTTTTTTTGTTGTTTGTCTAGCTCGCCCAGATTGCTTCCAACTCTATTTGTCATTTGCAATCAAGACAATGTCGTTTGCACGATGTCCTTGGATGATTTAATAATAGCAAATATTATTTTGAAGCCACATTCATCACATTTTAAGTTTGTATAACCATAATTTAGTATTTTAACTAAAGATTTTGGGTGGCTCTCTATTTAACACATTGTTCTGTCTATTCTTTAGCGTGTTCTGTTAAAGACACTTTACAGTTTGCATTTTTCCACGCCTGCAAGTAAAATTGCGGCCATTGGTATTGCTGTTGCCGCAAGTCGAACTGCCGTTGCAATTCTGGGAAAAAATGTGTAATAAGTGCTGCTGTTTTTTGATGTAAACGTAGTGGTTGTCAGCAACCTACAACCTAATTCATGAATCAGTAATTTGACTAAAGAATTGTTTCTCTGTAACTTAATTACCAAGTAACGTCGCGATTCCCGATCCGAAAACTGTCACTATGTCCATCGAAGAGCCCATATTTCTAAAGGATTTGATGGAAGATGGATTTTTTCAGGGCCAGTTCAGAAGTCGGTAATGATCTTGAAAGAGAAACTGAAGATCAGATTACAATCTGAACTTATTAAATATGAATATGCAGATGGTAGGCGGGGACTTCCAAGATGAAGATTCTTATATAGCAGGGGCAGAAGTTGGAAATGCTTTTGGTATATAGAGAGGGGGTAAACGCCAAACCACGTCGGACGGCTTCAAGAATTTTGCAGTAATGTTTACCTACCAGTGTCGTTTCATAAAATAAGTAATTTTAAATTGTTACCGACGGAACCGGACAATCGTATTTATTTATGGACTATAAAATAATTATTAAACATGTATTATGTTATCCAAATCATAATTCTACAAAATTTTAAACTATTTACTCGAAATTGTTATTAAATCTATAGTCATTTTGTACGCAAATGTATCGCGTCCACTTCGGTTAGATCCGCCGCAAACCTGTCAATTTAAGTGTATAAAGTGGGAAAACTAGCAAACGCCTTTCCAACTTCTGCCTCTGCTATATAAATGGTTATCCATTTGAGATTATTGCTTCTAAAATGAACAACCTTATAGAAAATGGTACTGTTAAGAAAAAGATAATTCACGAGGGATATGGAGAAAAAAACCAAAGGAGTCTGCAATTGTGAGAGTGGATTACTATACTTACGCTAGCGGAAAACCATGTTGCATAGATTTTGAATTGTGAAGAATTATTAATAGGGCTAGATATAGCAGTTCAAAGTATGTGAATTAATGAAATCTTGCAGTTTATCATTCAACCAATTTACTCATATGGTTAACTTGGCTGCTTGCAAAGGGTGTCTCCAAATACTGAGGTACTATTTAAGATCGAATTGAAGCAAATTGTTGATGTACCTGCTGCTAGTTGATTTGATATTCTACCAAATGAAGATAATCAAAAATCACTTATGTTTATTGTTTGGCTTTTTGTGCCAAATAAAGAGATCTATACAGTAAAAATAAAAATAGAATCTTACGTGACTATAATGCAGCCGTCTCTAAGTCAGAAATGTGCCAATTAGATACTTATGGAACACCAAGAGAAGCTCCAGGAATTACTATTGAGATTATCTTCAAATCCTTTAGTTGCATATACGAAAATAGAAGAAACAAAAAAGGCTTCTTTAATTTCAATAGAATGAAATGGTAACCACAGAATAAGAGACCTAGGGGAAGACCGAAAATTCGTTGGGAAGACCAAATAATGAAGGACATAAATAAGATGGGGATTAATAGATGGAGAGAAGAAATACGTATGACAAGTGGCTCAAACCAAAGAGCCAAGGGTGGCTAAAATTCCGCAAGAAATGTACAACCACACACACAAGTGCTACCAACCAGTTTCAAAATGAGTATACATTCCTGGCATTTAACATGTTGTGTGTTACATAAACTAACTCGCTAGAATATAGAAGAATAAAATAATTATGTATATTTTATTATATGGCATGTTTTCCATAATTTGCTTAGTATATTGGCGAAAATGGTTCCATGACTAAGTGGTGGAGCTGTTTAATGTACTTAAGTTGGCGAACTTTTTTTTGCGAAGTCTACTAGGGACAACAATTTCTCTCAATTGCAATTGCGAACTGTAAAGTGGCTCTTAGGATAGGCCAGTTGGTCAACACGTATTACATCGTTTTTTAATATTTTCGCAATTTTCCCGTCTTTAGCTAGGAGCATTATTTTCTTTCATATATTTGACTGATTCGGGCTGAAGTTTACAATTTCTTTTTGCTTCCGGTTGATTATGTTCTGACTGGTACATTTTTTAGTCATATTTACTTTATGTTGTTGATACAGTCTATAACACTGCAACGTACATCAGCATTGCAGTAGGTCTTCAATCCGTACTGTATTTGGAAAATGATGTGTCTGAGAAAATAAATCTGCAGTTCTATAAACTTGTGTTTCAAAGGACAAACGTTACCTACCATTTTTCTTAGATAAAATTCATGTTGAGCCTCTAAAAATATACTTTTATTATTCTGATGAAATAATTGACAAATGTCTTTTCAACTGAAATAATTTCCAATATTTTTTTTAGAAAATTGAGACACCAATGAAGACTTTTAAACTAAATATATTATAAATAATTGTTTTTTGTATCGATTTGCCCAGTGATTCTTGGTAAACTGATGTGATATTTTTTTCATTCCTTACGAATTTTTAATTCATTGTTGACAGTTTGCCTGAGTAGCATTTTAACTATTTTTAATCTTTATTACTGTAATTTTTATATATGCTAAGAGAGTTCAAGGTTCAATAAATATTTTCACATACAAATTGTTTCATTTTATACAGTTCAGCCATCTGATTTTTATTCTACTTTATATAAAGTTTAAAATTTAGACTTTTTAAAAATAAAGTGCATACATCATCTGCAATCAACAAAAACGGCTTCAGGGGACCCCAAAATATAAAATTCCGTCAAAAATTAGAAGTCGAAAAAATCATGATTACTATACTTTCCTTATCTGTATACAGGCTGGAAAGTAAAAATCTGATGTGTCCAACACATGACTTTCCTATCTAGTTATTATAGGCTTTTTCTGGTTATTTTGTACAACCTATTGCAGCACCTCTATAAATGTTTAGAGGATAAACTAAATATACATTTTTCACATATACAGGGTGTCCCGAAATTAGACGGTCATATTTTATATGTGGGACATCCTGTATACATCTAACAAATTTTAAATTGTAGCCGTCTGTAACCTACGTATTCCTCCCAAACGAATTTTTTATATCTTTGGTCGTTTTCCCATAAAGCTCCGTCCCGTTGAGCGTGAGCCACCCTGTATATATAACTCCAAACATTTTTCTATAGATATTCATTGAAAACGAAAATACTGAAAAATTTAAATTTAGCACTTTTCCTCCAATTTTTCTATTACGGTCCATCTTAGAAAAATCATGTAAAAAACAAAAATTATAGAGATCGATATCGCAAACAACTTTTAGTTTAATAATTTTCTTAAAAATCTGAATTTTGCACATTTTGTCCAATTTCTCGAATACGGACCATTTCAGGAAAATTTGGCATAGAACAAAAGTTATAGATAATAATATAAGTAATTTTTATTTGAACAATTTCTTCTACAAACATAAATAACATATATTCCATAAAATATAAAAACGGCCTCCCATAAAGTACCCCCCCCCCCCCCCCAGATGTTCCGACTTTGTCCAAAATCTAATCATTTCATGTCAACCCGAAGTAAATCTTAAGTTTAAAATTTAATGTTTTTTCCTTTATCCGTTTTTGAGTTTTTTTCAAAATTCGAAATTTACACATTTTTTCAAATATCTTGAATACGGTCCATGTTAGAGAAATTGTGTAAAATAAAAATTATATAAAAATAATATTACAAACAATTTTTATAAAAAGTTATTTTTTTACATTTTGTCAAATTTTTCGAATACGGGCCATTTTAGGAAAATTTTGTATAGAACAAAAAATATTGATAATAATATTGTTAGTAACTTTTTTCTGAAGAATTTTTTTCTCCAAACGTAAATAACAGATATAGTCCATAAAATATAAAAATGGCCTCCCATAAAGTACCACCCCAGATGTTTCGACTTTGTCCAAAATCTAATCAGTTCACGTCAGGCCGAAATAAAACTTAAGTTTAAAATTTAATGTTTTTTTTTCTTTATCCGTTTTTGCGTTTTCTTCAAAATTTACACATTTTCTCAAATATCTCTAATACGGTCCATTTTAGAGAAATGTATAGAATAAAAATGATAGAAAATTATATTACAATTTTTATAAAAAAAAAATTTTTTTTTACATTTTGTCAAATTTCTCGAATACGGACCATTTTAGGTAAAATTTTGTATGAAACAAAAACTATAGATAATAATATAAGAAGTAGAGGTAACTTTTATTTGAAAAATTTTCTTCTCCAAACGTAAATAACAGATATATTTTATAAAATATAAAAATCACCACCTATAAAGTACCACCCCAGATGTTCCGACTCTGTCCAAAATCTAATCAGTTCATTGGACGCTGGAATAAAGCTTAAGTTTATAATTTGGTGTTTTTCTGTGTATTGGTTCATGAGTTATCGCGAAAATAGTCAAAACGGATTCAGAGGACCTCAAAACGTAAAAATCCGTCGAAAACTCGAGGTAGAAAAAAATGATGATTCCTATACTTTCCTTATATCTGTAAAAGTAAAAAGGTATTAAGGAAAATGATGGGGTGTAAATAAAGTCAAAACTCCTATGAATAATGTTTATTATTATAACTGGATATTTGTACATAGCCTTAGCGTCTTAATGCTAAATAAGTCATTTATTCACATTAAATTTTCTCACTTTTCACCAGACAGAATAGTTTTCGACATTTTTTTAAAAACATTTCTAATATCAAAAACCGTCGTCTAAAAATATTTCAGTCAATGCTCTCAACGGATTTGCGATTTCAAAGATGAAGGAATTTGATAATGAAACATTGTAAAACGAATGCTACAATAATATAGAAGTAGTGTTTTTAACCAAAATATCCCAAACTTATAACATAATACACAATTTTAATTTTTGTACCTGAACAGGCAGATGCGTATGGTTTGAAATAACCGCCGATTTTATTGCCGTTATAAAAATAATTATTTTATCCGAAATAATTTTTTTATACAATACTTGTTTGTATACTCATTAGGTTTCTAATAAAAACGCATCTTTAAGAGTAAAAAAAGAAATATACATTTCAATGTTTTTTATTTTTTTAATAATTAACCCTTTCATGTCAATTAATTAAATATTCACATTGTTAACAGACAGGTAAATAGTCTCATAAATTCGGCGATTATGTCAAAATGTGGGAAATTTATATTCCATACTTTATTATATTATCCATTGAAAAGTTTTTTTGCTCCAAATTACTTTTCACTCAAAGTTTGGGATACTGCCCAAAACACAGTTGTTTGATATATTTCTATTATATTATACCGAGTGTCTTAAGACAGTTGAAGGAATCAAATTTAAAGCCTGAAAACCCAAAAACTGTCATAATCACACTGTTACATAATATCGTCAGACCAAAATTGATCTTTTGAGAAAATAGCCATGAACTCTTAAAAGACCCTGTATGCTCTTTTCGGAGCTTCCAAATTGACCAGTCGAAAAATATTCTTTCCTTTAGTATTTTTATATACCTATATTTATTAGTTTTACATGTTTATAATCTAACCTATTTAATTATTTATATATATCTGGCTTCTTATATGGGTCTTCGGCCTTATGCCTCTAGATAGATATTACTAAAATTGAACACACTTTTAGTTTTGCATCGCTGTCTTAAAAATTACGAAACATTATTTTTCTATCACAATATTTTGGCTCTTTCAATAACCGTTTCAAAAAAATACATCACAAATCCTTTGATGATTATGGTTGATCATATCGAATTTTTAATTTTTATTCACAATTGATTTCGTGACATCATATTAATTTTCTTACTATCCAGTATACAGATGGTTTAAATTATACATACAGGGTTGGACAAAATGATCTTTTGTTAGAAGCATAATTGGACATAGATATGCAAAAAGGAACCAAGCGAGAAAATCCCGAAAATTGGTTCATATGCATGAAAAGATTATTTTTTGAATATAAAATTAAAAAAAACCTAAATTGTTGAAAAGCAATGAAATTAGAACTATTTTTTGTAATGAGTTTATTATGTTGCAAATACTTTAAATCTCATTTTCTCAAAACTATCTTGTTGTCACTTGGTTCCTTTTTGCATATCCACGTCCAATTGTATGAGTCGCGTTTGTTGCTAAAGAGAGCAGGAAAAAAAATCACAAAGCTCAAGTTATGCACGTTTTCTTTAATAAAAAGTTTGGAGAACGAGAATATGCACAAGTAAGGAGCTTGACAATGAATTTCAAATTGTTGCAATTACTAGATACTAAAAAGAAGCTGGATATGATACCATTGAATCATAACTAGTATTTGCCAACGTCATGCAAATTGGACTGGAAAGCGTATTTTGCGAAGAAAACAGTCATAAGAGTATGGTGGAGAAATGTAGACAGATTTTCTGTGTTTAATATATCTCCAAACAACCCATTTGGAAATGGGTCTAGAACGTTAAGACATTTCTCAATACATTAAAAACTATAAAAACGTTTACCAAGACAAATGCAGGCAGTTATCAGAAGTTGTGGAACAAATTTTCTTCAAATAATTTTTTGTTTGCCTTACTAATCTTTTTAATTTTTGTACTGAGGAACACAATTTTTAATAAAAATCCTACTAAATAAAAATGCATATTTATGTAAAATTGCCTCTTAAATTAAGAGCCAGAATTCAGATAGCAGTAACTAACTGTAGTTGTGTGATCAAAAAAGTTTATTTTAGTTTTAGCTTACTGCACACCATCTGTATACCATAAGTTTTGTAAATTACATTCATGTACGATAAGACACAAAGTACTTTGCTAAGGTGTTCCTACTGTCAATCTGCAGCATGAGGAAAATTTAACTGTTTAAGTTTTCTTAAAGAAAAATAAAGTATAAATGCTGCTCAACAAACACAAAATTTTTTTTACCAAATTTTTTAAAGTGATAAGTTCTTATTGGTGGACACCAAGATAGTTTTAAAACGGTTAGTTTAGACATCCTGTATCCAAATGTATACACGTTCAGTGTTCTTCACAAAACAAATTAATTAAAATTTCCACAAATAAAAATGTAACTGACCCATTCCTAATAGCTAGTAATGTGACTATGAGGTACATTTTATATATTTTCTCACTATAGTATGTTTCTACTTGTAGTATCTTGCCACAACCTTAAGAGCTCATGTACAGAGTGTAACCCAAATCGGAACCTAAAGGATTTTTGGAAAACAGAGTTCTGAGATTTTGCATAAAAACATTTATTTAATGAAAGAATTGCTTCCTTTAAAAAATATATTTGAGTTAAATTTCTTAAAAATATACAGTTAGATGTAAATCTGTAATAAATTCAGTATTCTGAACATTTAGGAAAAAAAGGTATACAATGCGATACTTATTTGTTCTGCAAGAAACTTTTTTTTAGTTACTGAGGCTAGAAAACATTATTTTAAAACATACATAAATCCAAAAGTATACACATAATAAAATACTCAATGTAATTATTATAAATTACTATCTACCTATGATTTTTTTATATTTCTATATTGTTCGAATTTCTTGAAACATTTATTCAAATAGTTCACATCTAAATCATTTGTCATGAAAAATGTATTTTTCTTTTTTTTTTATCTGAAATTCTTTTAAAACATTTTATAAAACTGGATATACATATCTGGTTTTATTTAAAATTGTGTTTAAATTTGAATTTATAAAACAACAAACAAGAACATTCACTTGTAAAATTAATTTCATATTTCAAAGAGACTACAAAATAATGCGAAGAGAATTTCTTTATTAGTCTATTTTTGTTTATTTTGAATAATTTAAATATGAAATCACAAACTTAAAAATCAATAACATTAGAAATGTATTTTTTGCAGTCAATTTATTAATTAGTTCTTAAAATATAAAGTAAAAAAGTACACTACATATAGAAAATCATATATCCTTAAAATAAAAAATAATTATGACTAAATACAATAATTATAAATATTTTAACATGGCATTATTTTCTGCTCATAGTAAGTTTTTTTACTAGAGGACCATTTAGTTTGGGGTTTTTGCTAATTTTTAAATATCTCGAAGATGCATACTTTTCTCTTGAAGCTTGATTTTTAGATTTTTCACTTTTAACAATGAGCATAGCTAGATCAGCAATAACTGATCTAAAATCACTGTATTTGTAGGTTGTGTAATGTACTAGTGTGGGAGTCCACACATTTTGAAGATCCATTTTATCATTCAGAATACCAATTGATAAACAACAAGCTGCAGCTGCTTGAATAGATGGTTTAATGGGACTTAGATCATGTTCTAGTAATGCCAATTCTAAAAGATACTTCCCCAATAAATGATGTTCCAATTTTGCCTCAGCAATCTTGTTGTATCTTCTGAGAAACTGTATAGATATTGGCTTGCCAAGATTAAAATCCAACCTTTTTAAAATTTCCTTTTCCATTTGAAGGATTTGCCTCTTTGAAAATGTGTTATCACAAATGTATTCAAAATCTTCTAAATCAGGAACATATATTTCTTCATATTTGCTTGCTATCAGCATTGAAGTTGCACCTGAGAAATATATTTGAAAATAGACTTTTATAACAAATAAGTAAGATCTTTATATTTAATTTGAAAGAAATTAGTTTCTCACATACACTATCTGAAGCAAAGGAAAATTTAATTGTAAAAAAAGTTGGTAAGTTCCATTGAAAACAAAATGATACATAAACTTGCAAATTCTTAACAGGAATGAAACTACCCAAATAAAAAAAAAATGTTTATATTGAGTGGTTGACAAATTTTAATATTTAGGAAAATGAAGAATATGTTATGTTGGGAATGGGGTGTTAATACACTGTAATCTAAAAGATCTATTGTGCCCCTTTCTGTCACTAATGCAGCAAGGAAATGTTGAAATGCCTATAATGACCCTTCCAATCCTATCTTCTTAAGGAAGTATAGGATTTGGAGTGGCTTCAAGTTAGGAAACGGAAGAATAACAATAGACCATCAAACTCAAAAAGTAAATAATACCTATTGTGCAATTTTCAGATTATTTACATGAGAAAAATGCAGAACGTACCAAAATGAACAAGTACAGACCAATCTTCAAATAAGAATTGGGGGTGCTGTCTTTTAATAAGACATGAACAGTGACAGAAGTGAAAGGGATAGAGAAAAAATTAATAGATTGACATCCCCTTCAATAAAGGTTGTAACTTAATTTTAGTGATTTTACAGGAGCATGAGAAAACTAAAAATGCTTGCTTTGTTTAAATCTTTATGGAGAAACTGTACAATACTATGAAAATTACAAATAGGATAATTAGAATAGGGTTACTTATGAGATAATGAATGTTTAAATTTTATCAATCATTAATAAACTACAATGTTACAGTAAGAAATATGTATATTTTTTATTGCTGCATTAAAAAAATATGCAAACAAGACTGTAACTAATTTTACAATCTTATATTATGCTACATATTATTTGAAGCCGAGTTTGAAACTATATTTGACAGAGGTAACAAGGTGTTACTCCCTTTTTAAGTCTGAAATGGTGCATGTAACATGAAAAACGAGTAGCAGCCAAACCATTGCGAATTGAGGTATGCTTTTTATAATGATGTATTCATCTTATTTTGCTGATTAGGGCCTGTGTCAGAGCACACAGACCAGAGGCAGATATATTGTTAACTAGAAAACAACAAGTTATAAAAGGAACTTAAAAAAAGCCGACATTAAAATCGTGCAGATGCCATTACAAATTTTCTCATGGACCCAATTATTAGACCTTGACCAATTTTATATGAAACCATCTCTGAAATACCCCCTTTATAACAAAAAAAAAAACCGTAGAAATCGGACTTGTTAAAGAATTATGGGTAATGTTGTAGTTGAAGGGTCTGGAAAATTCACGTATCGGGGACAACACTAATCATTTGTAGTGCACATGTCCTATGCATTTTATTTGTACATCGGTCTTTTTTTGACAGAGTAGGTGAGCTGTGTCCAGGCCGTTGGTGTTTATGCCGGTCGGTGTAGTCAGATATGGATTGAAATTTTCTGATGGCGTCGAAGCCGCCACCCTACAAGAAGTTGTTGCTTCGTCTTAGCATTATTATTATTTGTTCGTGTATGTGAAATTTGCTTCTAAGGTTTATAAAATACTACTGCTAATCGCGGCGTAAATGAAAACAAACAAGACACATTCACACAAACACCTCCCACCACAGCAATTACAAATGATTAGTGTTGTCCCCAATACGTGAGTCATTTCTAGACCCGTCAACTACAACATTACCGAATTATGGCTGAAAAGACATAAAAATAACGACGAACTGAGAACCTCCTCCTTTTTTCAAGTCAGTTAAAAATATGATATGAAGGGCACTAGAAATGTGGCTGTAGAACAATTTTGAGGTAGTACTTATAAAAATATCCATATCATTAATAATTCCTAAAATAAATTTACTAAAATAAAAGTCAAACAAAAATTATTTTTGATATATTATTTAATAATGACTACTAGGGATTTGTAAAAAGATCAATAAGCCTAGCATGATATTAAAAAGTAATAAGAAACTGTTCAGTAACACTTAGTTACCTATTTTATAAGTCTTCAATAATTTAAATTATTCATACCTAGTAACTGAAGAGTATTCCTTCCAATTTTCTTGTTCTCTTGCAAATATCGGTCAATTATTCCAATACATAGGTGTAAAGTCTCAATGGTACATTTGAAATTTAAGTGAGCCTCCACTAACCAATTTACAAGGATGGCTCTCATTTTAGGACTGCTTTCATGAATATCAAGGAAATTTTCCCTTATGGCATATTTTGTCTCTAATGCTCGTAGATATTCATAAATAGCTGGGAGATATTCTGGTGACATATTAGGTTCATCTTTGATATTTTGATCTGGGTCTATGATGGTATTTTTTTTTGAGCTTGAAGCAGCTAAACAAACTTTTTTGGTGTCTTCTTTCTCCGTTTTAATCAGTTGTTTCACGAGAGTGCTTTCTTGTCTAATCAGTGGTTTTTTCTTTGGGCCATCGGCGGTGTTACCATTTATTTTTAAATCTATTTTGTCAGGTATAACAGTAGTTTTTTTTGAAATAAATTTTGGAGGTCCCATGCGCCCATGTTGTTTTAAATCCTTATCTTGTATTTGTTTTAAAGTCTCGATTGTATTACCCAATTCGCAAAATGCAGTTCTTTTTATGTTTACATTTTCAACTGGTTTTACAATACCTGATTTGGCAACCATTCTATGATTTTCTTCATTATGTCTCATAACTGCGGCTTTTCTTGTTGCCATGATTAATTAGTTTTTAAAAAATATATCTTTTGTGTAAAATTGATAAAAGTAATCTTGTCAAATCGTCCAAAAAAATTGCAAAAGAACTACGAGCAACAACCGCCTACTTAAAAAGTGACCATTTTAGTATTTAAATGTAACGGTTAACAACGTCAGTTTATTATAATTTCAGTAATCAGTTTTGCCAATCGTTAAAATTTAAAATTCTTGAACATATGTTAGATCTTAGACGTAAATATATAACTAGACAGATATTTATAATGTAGGTACTTACTTATGTTGTGAACATGTCAGTACCAATGAACTGGAGTGGGGTAGAAAGCCAATGTGCATATTGTATCAATAGAACAAGATGCGACTCTATGGGCGCAGCCATTTTTATTTCTCATCTCACTCAGGAGTATTTATAATAACCATTTTCTGTTTCACATTGTTATTGTTCAATCCACAAGCTGGTGGATCAGACAATAACAAAGTGAAATAGAAAATGGTTGTTATAAATACTCCCGAGTGAGATGAAAAATAACCTGTCTTCGCCCATAGAGTCGCATCTCAAGCCTATTGACAAGCATTCTATCCCACTCGAGTTCATTGTTCATTGGTCAATACCACTGATCTGTCAGTGGTCAATACTGATTTCTAGAACCAAATGTCTAGTGTGTCGAAAAACGATAAAGAAATTTTCAAAACGTCATAAAAAAGTGAGTTGACGGGAGACGAAAAAAATCCTTATCAGTATAAGCATAGACAGTATTCATTTTGTTGGCAGAGTAATAATCCTTCCTCCATGTGGCAGAGCTTGTCGGCGACATGACCATGATAGATGAGACTCACGTATCGGGGACAACACTCATGATTTGTAGTGCGCATGTCGTACGCGTTTTATTTGTACATCGGTCTTCTTTTGACAGAGTAGGTGAGGTGTGTCCAGGCCATTGGTGTTTATGCCGGTCGGCGTATAGAGAAAGTAAAAGTTGAAAAGTCTTTTATTGGTATCGCGTCCACTTCGGTGAGATCCGCTGCCAACCTGTCAATTTATGTGTATAAAGTGGGAGAGCTGGCAAAAGCATTTCCAACTTTTACTTCTGTTCTAGCCAGGTATGGATTGACATTTTCTGGTTTCGCCACAACCCTACGAGAAGTCGTTGCTTCGTCTTCTTGTTGTCACGGCATTATTATTATTTGTTCATGTACGTGAAATTTGCTTCTATACTACAAAACAAACAAGACGCATTCACATAAAAACCTCCCACCACAGCAATTACAAATCATTAGTGTTGTCCCCGATACGCGAGTATAGATGAGCATGCGCAATTTCGAATCGTGTATCGTTAAGATTCATATTTCAAATTTCTGTCCCTATTTTTATGGAGTTCCAAAAAACTACTGTAGTTGGCGGGTGGCAAAATAACGACGTCTATTTTCTATGCAAGTCAATGGTAATTAAAGTGATTTTTGTAAAATTTAGTAAAAAGAATAAAAATAAGCTGAAATAAAGAACCTGACTATAAGTAACAATAAGTAACAAACAAAGACAAAGCAGGATTTCCTTCGTGACGGGTTGCAAAACGGGATATAAATCCGATATAAAATTAAAGAAATAACAAGGAGATAAAAATCCAAGTCTTTTTAAAGCTTCTAGTGTAAGTAAAATAATGTATTTATTTCTAAATAATATATATTTATTGTAAAATAGTCACAACCGGTATCTTACGGAGTGTAGTTTATTTAATTACAAAATTCTATAATAAAAAATAATAAAGTCATAAATCCTGACTTACAAACAACAATAATTACACATTAAATTTAACTTACTAGAAAAGAAAATTTGCTTTGTTTATGTTTTTTGATGTTAGATGAAGAGTTACTACTCTTATTTTTCTTTATTGAACTCCCATTTAGTCATTGCAAATATTTTTTATAAGATCCTAAACGTTTAGAACAATGGCAGCATGTGATTCCTAGGGCTGATAAGGTACGGTCTAGTTATGATTTTGTTTGCGAGCTACACTTTTTAGAAGATGATATTTTAAAATTTGATGAGACTATTTTAACTAATGGTACTGTTAGCAAAATAAAAAGGGGACAGCTGAAATTAAAGGATGTACATTCCCAAATCTCCCTTTATACCTACTTGTATTACAACAATAAAAAATCTGTTAACTGTGTTTTATTTTACTCTTAAAAATATATATTGGTTCAATTCAAAAAAAAAAATTTGCCACAAAATTGTACTTATCAAATTTCAGCAATTAAGAAACCTTTTCGAATTTGGTCATACATACCAAAATTGTATTTTATACAGATAAAATTAAATAATTTATCAATTGAAACATGCAAGACTTATTTAGAAATAAATACAACAGTATGTTCTGTGCTTTATTTAGCTGTAAACAAGTTTATTTTCATTATTTTGACAAAATTATGTATAATTCCCATAATAAGCAATGTATTTTGAACTACGTAAACCGTACCAGCGCCCATGCGGTTAATTATAAAAGCTCAATTGACGTGTGATTTTTGGGACCGTATTTTGAGCATGCCGATTCGCCTCCTTACCTCTAGTCTTCATATGTATACCATACCAAAACATTTTCGGAATTAATGATATAGAGCTAAAGAGAGACGATTGATAATTGTTTGAAATCACCACCTAAAAGTTCACGTTTCGCACATGCAATGGGCGACTGCGAAACACTGCTTCGGTCTAGTCGACCAGGAAAATTGCAAAAACATTGGTCCTTTGGGGCATTTTAAAATTAACCTGTTTTGATATTTTGTAATTAAGTTTATAAAATAACTTTTATGAGCAATTCCATAAGGAAGATAATAAAAGCGTCTAATGAAATAAATATACTGCCAAATTGATGCCATGCAATCGTGGCTTGCTTTGTTTTGTATTTTGAAATAAAAAATGGGAAGGTGTTGTGTTATTCTATGGTTATGGTTGCCTTAGTGGCCGAAAGGCAAATGAGAATTTAGGAAAAGTGGCTTTATTCAAAGCACCGAAAGTGAGTAACCTCTAAATAATATTAAAAATTTGTTTTAAACAAGTGCTTGATTAATAAATTTGTTTAATTTTCAAATAATAATTAATTAAACGAGTACTTCTTCAAAAGTGGCGCGCCCTGCCGGCAAAAAGTCTGTCCCCCAAATTGATGCCATTCATTCAACATTACGTTCGGACTCCTTAAGGCGGGTACAGATCTGAGCACGAACGCGTATGAGGCAAGCCGAGGCCGAACCGAATGCCTCGTGCGGTGCATTTTGTACACACGAATAGTAGACGCACGAGGAACTGTTCGCTACTGATCCAGTGAATTCGCGAGCACGGAACCGTACACCTAGAACACTCGTATAATTAAAACAAAAGTGGAAGTCTAGTAAATGAGTGCCTGTTTTATTATTTTGTCTTGCTCTCCATAAAATATCTCGCTGATTATTGTATACACCCAGGAGAAACAAAACCTGTTCCTGGCTCCACTTTATGCAAAATAAACATTCGGTACAAATTCCTCGTCCAGAATGAGCACGTACTGCGCATTGCCTCCCTTATTTGATGTACCGCCAACAAACGGATCGGAGCGACGCCGCACGGTGCAATTTGCCGCGCCTCGAAAGCTCGTCCACATCTGCATGCTTATGCGTCCTCGCCTTGCCTCATACGCGTACGTGCTCAGATCTGTATCCGCCTTTATATATCTATACTTCGTATCTATAACTATCAATAAATAAAAAATAAGTGAGTTATCAAGGCGGGTACAGATCTGAGCACGTACGCGTATGCTCAGTCTGGACGGAGAATTTGTACCGAATAGATTATAGCGAGTTTTTTAAGGTTTATTTTGCATGAAGTGGAGTCAGGAAAATGTTTTACTTCTCCTGGATGTATATAATCTGCGAGAAATTTTATGGAAAGCAAGACAAAATAGTAAAACAGGCACTCAATTACCAGACCTCCATTTTTGTTTTAATTATACGAGTATTCCGGGTGTACGGTTCCGTGCTTGCGAATTCACTGGATCAGTAGCGAACAGTGCCTCGTGCGTCTACCATTCGTGTGTACAGAATGCGTCGCACGAGGCATTTGGTTCGGCCTCGGCTTGCCTCATACGCGTACGTGCTCAGATCTGTGCCCGCCTTTAGGTATGAAACAAAATAGGTTTGTTCCAACAGCTCCTTTCTGATGTGTCTTCTTGACTCGTACATGGATGCATTCGTAAACTAATCACCGCGCATGTCAGTCCGTTTATTCGTCATTTGTTTAATCAGCGACTTGTACTTGTTGTAGAGCAAAATGCAATGGAATTGACAAACCAAACACATGTTTGGTGAATAGGTATTTTAAACATTATTTAAAATACAACATTATACATTTGTTTAGCTGTCTCGAACGATCGTGAATGTCTAATTTTGAAACCTTTAAGATGTTTATTTTTATTAATAAGAAGTACATATTTTACATAAAAAAACCGTACACAAGATAAAAACAAAAATGATTCATTTCAATTGAAAGAAATACAAACCCAAGCCACTCCATATATACGTTCATTTTTAACTCATCGCGACACTTCATTATCATCAGTTTTTAAACTTTATTTGAATATTTTGTTTGTAATTTGTTTTCCAGATGCAACTCTCGCAAAATAACACAAAAACAATCATAAACGCTAATGGTCCTTCAGCTAGCGATTTAAAATAAATCAAGAAATCGGATATCGTTGTGAACGTGACGAACAACGTTGTTGTAGACATAACCACAATTTATATAACTAATAAAATACCGTAAAAGCGCCTAACTTAGAACCAAATTAATCTTCCTAAATACGGCCCTGACGCTCGCTGCATTCACTTGGTGCAAACGACGCGATTCCGCGCATAGATAAATTAATAATTAATTTATCTACAAGAGTAGTCGTTTTAACCTGTCAGATTAAAACAAGAAAACCGACAATTCCGAAGCGGATGATTAAAACGCACCTATTATAAGATAATAAAATTCTACAATGCATCAGTGTAATGTTAAACTAACCTCAAATGCTGCGTTTGAGAATCCACATCGGATGCATCTGAGATGTAAAAAATCTTTGATCACGTGATTCAGTATACGCAAATGTAATGGGACAGATGTGTCCGATGTGGATAAAAAAACGCTCGAGATGTAAAAAATGCATCCGATGTGGATTCTCAAACGCGGCAAAAGTTTCAAAACCATAAAGTGATCAGGGTCGTAACAAGTTTTTTGCTTCAGGAATTGGCTTAGGTGCACGTAACTTGGAACATGGGTTGAAAATCACAAAGAGTGCTTGGCTCACGGTGTTATCATAATTTTAGTGATGAAACATTGCGCCGAGCTCTGGAAGATATGGAGACAGGAAAATCTCTTAGGACCGTGTCAAAAGAATATGGAACTCCTCTCGGAACATTATCCCGTAAGAGGTCTAAATAATCGTAAATATGGAGCACAAAACGTGTTGTCAGTCGAT